AGAGCCACTGCTGAAGTGGAATGGTTCCTGACAGTTGTGATAGAATTAAAAATTTACCAGTTTGATGAAAATATGCTCAATATTATGCAAACTAAATCAGCAATGAGGTATATTTCCCTGAAATGGCTAAACTCTTTTAACAGTGATAATGCCAAATACTGGCAAGGATGCAGAGAAACTGGGAATTTTGTACCCTGCAACTGGTAAAAAGGCAAAATATGATCACTGGAAAATCGCTTGGCAGTTTCTATATGAAATTAAACATACACTTATTATACTGCATGAGTCGGTAGTTATATAGTTAGGAGTGGAACTTAGTCTACATATGTACATAAGTGAAACGAAAACACAGGTTCCCATAAAAACCTGGATGTTGCTCTGTAACAGCCAAAAAAGTAGAATATCCCAGATGTTCCTCACCTCCTATATGGAAAAGCACAATTTGGTCCACGTAGATAATGAGCTACTACTCAGTAGTAAAATATAATAATTCACAATACATGTAACAGGATCAATGATTCTTAAGTGTGTTATGCTAAGTGGAAAAAAAAAGATTCAAAAACTGCAGGAAGTATGATTCTGTTTATATGACATTTGGGAAACTGCAGGGACAGAAAGTAGATCTGAGGTTGTCACAGACTGGAAATAAAGAAGACAGGTGCCTACAAAGGCCACAGGAGAATGTTTTGAGTGAGGGCACGTCAGTATTTTGATTATAGTTGCAGTCATATGACAGTATGCATTTGTCAAAATTTCTAAAATGATGTGCTAAAAAAGGTGATGTTTTGTGTATTACATTCCTGTACATAAAGTAATGTACCCTACTCCTGTATGTATTAATTTTAAAACATGGGAAGAATGTATCAATGTTATCAGATTAAGTAAGAATCAGTAATCAAAAAAATAAATGCGTTTCTTGATTTTTTCCGGGTTAAAAACAGTGCTATTAGCACCCTGAGAAGAAGACAAAAGATAAGTTTTGTTTTCTTGGTAAAGTCCTAGACACTGTTATCTAGTATCTCCCTCCACCAAATGGTCTGGACATCAGAGAAAGCCTCTAGGAAGGAGGTAGTCTTTGCTCTACAAGAAAAACACATCTTCAGTATCCAGCTCTGGCCAGGAACCTGTTTCCATCGCATTGGCTCCTCCTTTCTTTGTAGCTTTGTTCATAGTTCCCTTCTGTGAGTGATGTTCTTTACTCTCTGAATCTCAGTCTCAGGAGTCATTTCTTAAAGGAGATCATTTTGTCTACCCCAAGCTATAGTCTTTTATTTCACATTGTTCTCCTTAAACTCTTTATTTTTTTTCTTTTTATGTGCAAGTATGCTTGTCAGGTGCTCTTAGAGATGCTTTTGAGGAAGGGATTACATCTTATATTTCTGTGTACAATAGGATTTCCCCAAACAACAGGTGTTTAATAAATGTTTTAGATGATGATAATGATGATGAAGACCATGAGGATAACAGTACCAAGGCTCTGGATGGTCTGCTTCTTATTTAGCTTACAGGATATACTTTTGCCTATACTGAATTTTTAAAAGGCCACATTAGAGGGATGGCAGGATCTTTGAGCACTCTCCTCAGTCACCTCAGTGTGAGAAAGTTATGCATATGACAAATGAATAATTTTAATTGGTAAGCTTACTCATCTGGAGATAAAAGAGTGTTATAGGCTTCACTGAAACATCTTTGGGGTTGGAGGTTAGAGCTCCCAAGAGGCAATATTTTAGCACCTATCTCCACTGAGCTGCCAAGAACAATGATTTTAGGTGTGAGACTATGGACTTCTCCCAGAGGGCTTCTCACAGACTTCGTTAAGGTCAAGGGAACCATCTGGAACTGAAACGAGAGATCTATTGATAGCTAGGGGAAGGACTGAGGGAGAAAGAGCTTACTGAGGGACAAATGGCCTCTGGTCCCTCTTGTGTGAAATTTTTCCCCTTAGCCTTGCTGTTCTCTATTTAGTTTTTTAAAAATCAAAAATGAAAACAAAACACAAGTAAAATAAATAGTAATGAGAGAAGAAATAATAAAAGGTAACATTTGAAAAAATATTTGTGAAGCAGTTAAAAAATGAAAATCTACTAAGGGTCAAGAGGAGAATTTTCTGTTGAATTGGAAGGCCCAGAAGATACCAACAAATGACCCAAACTGTTCAAGCAAAAAATTCAGGAAGATTTTTCTTGAGAGAAATGTTGGGGGCGCTAAGTATAGTGCCTGCCAAAACCTAGCAGAGGGTTTATCAAAGGGTTTTTTAGGGTCCTTGTTCTTCAGCTTTAGCTGCAGGTAGGCATGGGGGGGACCACTCAGAAACAGTTCTTTTGATGCTCCACCTCCAGCCTTAAAATTAAAACAAATTTACGCAAACCCCAATTCCTCTCTTTCTCTCTCTTCTTCAATCCCAAGCAAAGGTAGATCCAGCCTACCAGCAACCACTCATATTTAAATATTCTCCTTATTTTTGTAGATCTGTGCCTTGTTTTTGTTGACATCCACTGAAATACTCATTACCTTGGTTAGAAGATAGAGGGCAGAATAAAAAGTGCATCCCAGGAAGAGTTCGAATGTCACCTAGAAAGGCAAGTTTGAAGTCAATGCCTAAAATGTTTATCGCACTTGAGTTTCCTCTGGAGCACTTCCCCAGAGATCAAATTCATCAAAACTCAGGAGTCTCCTTTCCCCTCAGAGTGGATGATATTCTCACATTGTTTACTCTGCAGTGAAATGGGGAAGTCCCTCTTGAAGTTCCAAGTCTCGCAGAATTCGAAAATGGGGAAATGGCATGTCGGGGTTCAGAATCACACATCTGTACATACACATGACTGGTTACTCACAGATAGCAAGGGCTCAAAGTACGTGTTTTAGAAATTATGTAAATATGAGATTGGCTGGGAGAACATGGCGGACAAATAACAGCAGCCACAGAGGTTCTCTGAGAGTACCAGCTTAGAATCCAGGAGTGGTGTGGTGTAGGGAGTCCTAAGCGAGGGGAGATGTACCCTGCCAACCCAGGAATGAACTAAGCTGAGAGAAACCAACTGGAAATGCAATCCTGATGCTATAACAGGAACAGATAAAATCTCAGCGCTGAAGCTGGATCCCATGCCATTGGAAGCCGCGATTTGAATTTCCTGCTGCCGATACTGCGTCCCAATCAGCACAGCAGGGAGAGAGACGCGTGAAAGCTCTCAGAGCGGGAATCGCTGAACTAAATGGCATTGAGAGCGGGACTGGTAGCGAGCCCTGCATCAACCTGCAGTAAGCTAGAGAAATGGGGACCCTTTCATAGAGTAGGAGGCTCCAACAGAGGACATTCTGGGAATGGGCAGACTAGCTGGAACAGGACCCTGCAGTGACTTACAGGGCATCTAAGCATATTCCCCTCTCAAGTGGGATTGGTGGGGAGTGCTTGGCCTGGTGATGCCGTGGACTAAGATCCAGTAGGCTAGCCCAAATCAGGTCCCTGCACCTGGTGGTGCACCCTAGCAGTGAAGCCTTTACTAGGTTGATCTGGAGGAATGGGCCCAGCAGAGGCTGCCCAGGTCTGTGTCTCCCTAGTACACTGCAGTGGGAGGGAACACCTACCTGGCGGATTCAAACAAACTGTAACAGACAAAGAGAAAAAAAAAAAAAAAAAAAAAACCCTGGGCCTCCTACATACACTTGTATGGAAGGAACAAAAAGTATGGGAAGAGGGAGCAACAAGAAAGGGTCCTCAGTCCCCAATCCTGAGAACACTGATCCAGGAAAGGTAAATGCAAAAGAGAATGAAGACAGAAAACATGCAATATCAGACACAGCACCAATAGACATAAAGCAGTATCTCCAGAGCCTCATAGATGAGTTCAAAAATGAAGTATTTAATGAAATAAAGCAAGAAATAAGTAGAATAGTTAGAGAAATGCTATGCACCGCCCAAGAAAAAAACAGATGGTGGAAGAACAGAAAAAAAGGAGAGAATTGTTTGATGGAGAAAATAGAGAAAACAGAATACGTGAAGCAATACATGAACCAGGAAACTAAAAACTCTATTGAAAGCTGGCATAACAGCTTGAAAGAAACTAAGGATAGATTATCAGAACTGGAGGACAGATTTGTAAGGTGGGAGCATGAAATGAAAAACTTCTTAAAAATAATAAGAAAACAAACAGCAATAATACAAAGACTAGAAGATGATAAGAGGATCTATAACTTAAGAATTAAGAACACAAAAGGAGTAGGGACACAAACAAATGAACTACAAAGCCTATTCACAGAAATAATCCAGGAGAATTTCCCTAATTTAGCAAAAGGTAAAGATACTCAGATGTATGAGGCATACAGGACCCCAGCCACCTACAACCCAAACAGAGCTACACCCAGGCATATAATAATCAAAATTCCAGAAATCCAATATAAGAACAGAATATTAAAAGCTGTCAGAGACAAGAAATAAATCACTTACAAGGGAACACCCACCAGAATTACAGCAGACTTCTCGGCACAAACCATCAAATCACGAAGAGCGTGGGGGGAAATAATTCAAGCTCTGAAAGATAATAACTTTCAGCCAAGATTGATATATCCTGCACAACTGTCCCTAGAAATTGATGGAAAACCAAGGTGCTTCCAGGATAAAGAGGAACTAGGGGAATTTGCAACCACCAGTTCAACTCTACAGAGATTACTGCAGGATATTCTAAAAATGAAAAATACCAAGATTCCAGAAACAGTGGCAGAGAGGCCACAATGAATGGAGCAGAAAGCGAAATGAAGAGGACAAATTGACAACTAATGACAGAAAAGAGCTCAACAGAAATGAGGCAGAGAAGGTTGGATGCTAGGAACAGCCACTTTGGAGAAAACAAGACATCATAATAGGTAGTACTGATTTAATATCCTCTTGTTTTGAAGTCCCATCAAGCTTTTGTTCTTCTGTCTCCATCGGTTTTAACCTGTTGTATCTTATTGGATTTTATTATATGTGATAATATAAACAGAAACTTTTATAGACAAGGAGATTATACAGAAACCATTGTTCATTTTCTGTTAGTTGATTCTAAATACCCTGTAATACTGTCATTCTCTTGAATGGTTTTACATTGTCTTGATATGTTTGATGCTACAGTATACGAAGTTATACACAAAGATTTTAAGGAAAGAGACACTATGGTAACTACTTTTATGTCGATATTATCTTGTGGTGAAACATAAAGAGTATTGTTGCTTTGGAGAATAGCAGTAGGAAAACTACAGAAAAAGCTCTTTCTTCCTTCGCTTGCCTTCCCCTCATCATGGTTTTCTAGTTTATGGTGTGGTGCTTTGTGAATGGTGCTAGGAAATTTTAACTTCCAGCTTTTCTGTAGAGGCAGGCCAGTGGGTCGCTCATCTTTGTCTCCAGCCCCACTCGGGACTCCCATTTATTTTCCTAACATGGGTGAACTTCTCTCCCCTAAGTTTATGAGGCCCGAGGGCTTCAAACCACAACCTTACCTGTTTACTGTGAACTCTCTCTGAGGGACCCTGCCCCTGGGCCCGCCATTTTTATTATTTGCGTTCTTCTCTCATCCTCTGGACTTCTGACTGGTGTTTCTTTATTTCTTTTTCCACAAGTTTACCTCCTCTCTTATTGTGGAATATGTGTAATAAAACCCAGATTGAACGTGTTACTCTTTACCTTAGGACTTTCAGGGGCTCTTCTCTAAAGAATGGAGTCCAGCCTTCTGGCTAGATCCATCAATTCTTCCCGAGTCTAGTCTTTGCCGGTTTCGCAGGAATCTTTTCCCACTGTGGTGATCAGGCAGCCTTATGCTCCAGCCTGGAAAATTCTCTTGCCCTCTCACGACGTACTCTGCTCTTTCTAGCTTCTGTGCTTTTGAAAACTTCTTCCACTGCTGAGAATGCCCTTTTCATACTGTATTGATACCTGGTAGTTGACACTTTCCTGGGTAGTTGTGGCTAGTTTTGGAAGCTGCTCTCTCTGTGGGTTCAGCAGTAAACCCTGAGTATTCAATGACAGGCCCACCTTGGTCACTGTGTCCTCCAGGCTTCAGGTTCCCTGGGGGCCAGAACTGACAACTCTGTTTTCCTTACCTGACATAGTCAGGCCTCTAGTGGCACTCCATAAATGTTTATTGATAGAAAAGTATAAATTAACTCGATTCCGGTAGAAGGTAGGATTGCCTTTAGGAATAGCCTGAACTGATATGTCCTTAAAACATATCAGTGGTGAAAAGTAGTTAATCAGAACTAGGACAAGACCTTAGCAGTGACCTGCTTCAACTGGCAGGCTTATACCTTCGACACTGCCCCCTAACTTACTTGGGAGCAGGAGGCATTGGAACCCATGCAAGTCCCAGTTCCCAGTTTAAGAGCTTTAACTGATGCATCTATTCAAAGTGTCCAAAGTAGGAACTACATGTGATACTCTCACGCCACAGATGTAACCTGCCATAGGAGTGCTCGTTAATACAACTGAATTCTGAAACTGAAACAAAAACCATTATACTTGATCCCTGGACAGCAAAACAGCTTGAAAAAGTCTGATTACACATTTCAACAGTTCATGAGGCTGTTAGGAGTCACAGGAAAAGACAAGAGGCCAGGAGCCATGTGGAGAATTTAGGGACGATCACATTCAGATCATCAGACCGAACTTAGGGCTGCCTATTTAAGCAATGTGAACACAGAGAAGCTGAGGCAGGAGGATCACAAGTCGGAGCCTGAGCAACTTGGTGATTTATGGAGATTCTGTCTCAAAATAAACAAAAAAGGAAACAAAGCAAAACAAAAACTAAAAAGGGCTGAGGTTGTCCCTCAAGGCAAAGGCCTTGTATCACAAACAACAACACAGTGACAAGACAATGTGAAATCCTTTGGTCTGAAAACAATCTGTCCGTGGGTGCCTGTGACCAGCTTGTCCCGTGGGATCCCCAAGTTCTTCCTCTGAGTGGGCCACACTGAGAACTCCACAGAAAAGGCCTGTCTTCCAGTGTTCGTGGACCCTCTTGTCAGGTCTTTCCAGAAGGCCAGGGATGACTGAAAGCAAAAGGAAACAAAATTTTAAAACTCCACTGTTGTCCAACCTGAGGGAAAAAATTAGAATTTGAGAGCAAGAGTTTATTTAATTTTAAGATATCTAATGGGAAATAGAATGGGAAATGGGAGCTAGATTTTTTTTTTTTTTAAAGGAAGGGAACCAAGAGGTGGAAGGAGGGGAAGGGGCCAAAATAGGAATTAAGACACACGTCATGTATGTGTACAGGTTCCCCATGAGGAATCATTATGACCTGCAGGCATGTACCAATAAAAGTAAAATATTAACTAGAAAAAAAGGGAATTTTGTAAGTTATTCTCAGGCTTGACAGTATATAAAAATTCATTGTATAATTAAGGAAAAAATTCACTTTAATTTGAAAATTAGCCGAGAATGTATTAAGTGCTAAGCACATTACTCTATTTACAGATGAGGAGGGAAGCTTGAAGGGGCAAAGACTGGGCCGAGGTGCCTAGGGCCTAGGTTTGTGGGCACCATAATCCCTAAACTGTGCTCTGGCTTCCGTCAGAGTGGCTAAAGGATTCCAGGCTCCTTATGGTAGCAGAATTAATTTCCCAGTGCCAGAAGAAGGGGGATCCCGTCCCACAGTGGCTGGGGGATGGTGCAGCTATGGAAGGAAGAAGATTCAGTTCTAGTTCTGGTGAAGGTCTGGAACAGTTTTAGTGAGAATGGTGGGGAGAATGGGAGAAAAGGAAAGATTTATTAGATGCCTGGGCTGTGTGCTTGTTATTTCCACGCAGCATCTCTGGGAACCCCCAGTTTCTGTATCAAAGATGGCGGAAAGCTGACCAGAGCAGAGATTAACATGAGTTACTGTTTACTCCAGAATCCCTTACTTTTGGAGGGATAAGACTGTAAACCAATAAATAGCTGTGCAGTTTGTTGCAGGAAATTCCCGCTGTCATTAATCTAAGGCAACAGGCAAAGCACTGGCTATTCAAGTAACACTTGACTTGCCAGGCCTCGATTCAAGGCCTTTGCACTGCTCTGCCCACCACCTTGAGGCTGTCCTGTTACAGCGACTGCCAGTCTCAAGCATCCTGCCCTGAATGACCTGCTGGAACCACTTGTACCCACACCTGAAAGCACTGTCAGCATTTCCCTTTTCCCTTCTGAGACACTTCAGAGACTCTTAGGACAATGTTCCTTCCCCAAGCAGTTTGGCTTTGGTGGATCCCAGATGATCTGGAGACACTGCGGGCAGGGCAGCACTGGGCATTTTCAATCTCCCTTTATTAAAGTGGAAGCTGAGACCCTGGCAGACTAAGTCACACTGAGCTTAGTGACATTTTATGCCAATAAACGTGGCAGAAGCAGATTCAAATCTAGATGTCTGCCCTCTAAGACCACATCACTGCTGAAAAGAGGAGGGACCCACGTAGGCTTATAAAGAGTAGGATTTGCTTGTTTTCAACTGATAACAACAAATTTAACCATTATTTAAGCCACAGTGATTTTCTTCCCTTTACTGTCTATTGTCTTGCATGACTTTATCTAAATAAGTTGCAAGCATAGTAGAAAAGGACCCTATAAGGTTTTTTTTTATTGTATAAAGATGCATAACATAAAACTCACCACTTAAACCTAGACTCTAAAGTGCAGTTTGGTAGTATTTAGAACATCAAAATGTTATATGAGCATCATTATCATTTATTTCCACAAGATCACCCCAAAAGGAAACTGTCCCCACTAAGCAACAACTTTATTCCCCTCCTGCCAGCTCCCAATAACCACCAGCCCACATTCTGCCTTTGTGAATTTACATGTTCTGCATGTAATGCTTGATGTTTGGGTCACATATATGATAGCGGTCCAATAAGATTATATTACCTAGTGACACTGTAGCCATCTTAGTTTGTATAATTACCCCCTATGATGTTCTCACAGCAAGGAAATTGCCTGAAGACACATGTCAAAGAATGTACCTCAGTCATCCAGAAGTAGGTGGTGTTTTCTATATAAATAGAGCAACGCAGTGTGGGTTCCGGCTGCTTTGACTTAATGTACTATTTTCCAGGTCATATCAGGTTCTGTGTTCTGGAATATTTAAGGTATATTTTGGACAGCGATTAGCAACAAATGAGCAAGTCCAATGCATTAATTATTATGCATGGGAATATCTTTCCTACTGGCAGGGAAGAAGCAGTCTTCCTCCGTAACAATGAGAGGGGAGACATCTTCACATCTCTTGGCCACTTGATCTGAGGAGGAGCGCTCCATCACCTCCACCCAGCTCTGCCTGAGGCCGGCTGGAGCCTGTCTGCAGAACCTGACAAGTAGCACTGCAGGAGGGGCGAGAGGTCAAGCACTCAGATGTTTTGAGGACAACAGGGTGAGCTGTGGGATGAAGTCAGGAGGCAGGGTGAGGCTGTAGGTGGATTCCACTGTGCTGGAGGAAATAGAAGCCACTGAGAAGTTTTCCTGCCCATGCCTGGAGGGAGCCACTGTGTACTTAATGTCTCTAGGAAAGGAAGCCAGTCTTTTCAGTGAGCTCCTGGAGTTCATACCCTCCTTCTGTGAGCTGCCAAGACTGCTATCCGTGAGCCTCCTTGATACTTGGGCTGAAAACGATGCTCTTCATGAATTGTTCTGATAAGCGTACAGAAGAAAATGTATACTGCAACTCACTCAGAATTCTCTCCTATCAGAAGCCTCAAAATGTCAAGCAAACAAAAATATTGCATGCTTACTACTGTTAAATTTAAATTATGATTTGATGCCAAAGACAAATATAAATCTTTTTTTCCAGTGACAGCGCAACACTTAGAAAATTTACTTGATAATTTCCTTTCCCAGTTACTGTCAAATTGAAAATGGATGTTTGATGTATTTATGAGTAGGAAATTTCATGCGTTTTCCTCAGAGAATTCCTTTTTCTTTTTTATCCCTCTCTGAGTTTTGCATGATATAGGAAATAAAAATATAAAGTGGAAAACTAACAAAGTCATTACTTCTCTTTCCAATCTTTAGAATGAAGGTAAAACATCACTATGAACTAAAAAATATTTATCTTATAATTACTGCACAGAAAAATCATAAACTGAGATAACTGTCACAGAAGCCACTGAGGCATATGACCATTCAATTTAGGGAGCAGCTTAAAATACAGACATTCTCTGCAGTATTAAGATTGCTGTGAAATTTTAAAACATTCTCTTTCTTTTCAAATATGGCAAACATCTGAGGCGGGAGTTCTTACAGGACCCCTTGAAAATGACAGCAACACTTTTCACATGTGGATATACATTCTGAGGTGACAACCAGAATCTTTTTCCTTCTGTAAGAGTTGGTGATTCAAGAATAAGAAGACTCCTTGCTGTAAGAGGTGGGTGGACTACTACAGTGAGTTTTTAAAGGTTTCCTCCTTTCTGAGAGTCCATAAAATCAGCTATGTGTTAATCAAGAATTTTTTTCTTAGTTAATAAGGTGACCCTGGCAAACAAAGGTTGCCCGTATAACATATTATAATTATAATTACAATTAGAACATATCATTGACTATTGACAATGAGCAAAAATTTGCCCAAATTTTTATGTCATTATGCCTCTGGCTATTAATTTCATTAATTTTTCTGAATAGGATGCAGCCTGTTTTTCCAGAATCTCCTCAGTTTAAAAAAAAGTATGAGACTTTATTTTAATCATAGGCTTTATTTTTAAATAACAGTACTTTATGTGATATTATTCAGTAAGTCTAAATATGTTTCATGGTCATCCCTAATCAGTAGGTGACATTCTGTAAAGGAAGGTTCCACCACACAAGTCTGCAATTTCATATTCCAAATTCCTCAGTCCAAAAAGTTATGGAGATAGAGTTTTTCTGTAACTCCTTGGCAGTTAACCTGGCCTTACTTGAACTTACTTGGCAGAAAGATGTGACTTGAGCTGGCATGGGTCTATTTATAGTCTTTATCTATCCACTTAGTATTAACAATCATCTATTTTTTAGCAGAGACATTAATGTTTGATTATAGGATGCTGACCTAGACTCTGCTTAGATGTCACATAATGTCTAGTATGTACTATACTACCTCCTTAAAGTTCAAAAAAATCTGAATTTTGAAATACATTTGGCCCCTCCAGTCTTTGGATAAAGCTTATGGACCTAGTCCATATATTTTGCCTAAAAAAAATACACTGTATAGATAAATAGAACATTAATTTTGATATTTTCAATACTTGTGAGTTTATGTGGCCACTCTTAAAGCGGAACATAATATTCTCTCATCTTCTCAAACTGTGTTTATATAAAGCAAGTTAATTCTGATTTTTGAAATAATGACCCTTTAAAAGTACTTCACTTTTTCTCTAGCAGTGTTTTGAAAGTATAGGTAAGAGGGAACAAGCGAGAGTAGCAGCTTTCAGAAAAATAACTACTGCGTGATCTCACTAGAGTGTAAAATCTAAAAATATCAAACTCTTAAAAGTAGAGAGGGCTAGAGAGAGGTCAAACAAGGAAAAAGGAGATGTTGGTCAAATGGCACAAAGGTTCCAGTAAGACAGGAGGAATAAGTCCCAGCAATCAGCTTGTACTGCCTAGTGAATATATTTAGTTATAAGGTATTGTGCAATTCAAAATTGCTAAAACAGTAGACTGTAAATGTTCCCATCACTAAGGAAGAGTAAATACATAAGGTAATGGATATGATAATTAGCCTGGTTAAATCATGGCACAATGCAAAATATATATCACATTGTACCCCGTAAGTATATACAATTATTTTTATTTTTAAAATTTTTTTGTCTTTTTCTTTTTTATTGGTACCAAGGATCGAACTCACGACTGCCGCTTTCAAGGCAGGCACTTATGCCGGTGAGCTAAATCCCCAGGCCCTAAGTATATACAATTATTATTTGTGAAGTAAACATTAAAAAATAAATGAACACAAAAATAAACAACAGAAAAGAGAACCTGCCTGATTTTGAAGATTGTCTATCTTGCTCTGTACTCTGTACAACCCAGTACGTAGAGATAAAATAGGTGAATAAATAATTATATAATAACTATAATACAGTAAAACATATTACTACATTGGTTGGAAGCAAGAAGTCTAAGGGTATAATAACCTTTTATGACATCGATTTCAAACTTTGTTCTACAATTGTAGTCTAAAATGTGTGGCATTGAACCCAATTCTTCAGTGCCTCCACAAATGTTGTAACTTTTCTTCCCTAGCTAAATATGATTCCACTTTCAGACACCTGACCAGAGTTCCAGCTTAGGGTGACCCTATGTGGCATTTTTGGAGGATCAGTTAGCTAAGATGGATCAGGATAAAGTATTCGGTATATCAGATAAGCAAATCAGAGAAAGAAAGTTTGAATGGTGGCTAGACATATATTTCATGTGTTTCAGGAAAAGGACCATTGAATAAAATGGAATTAATGCTATTTATCTGCTAGAAGATCAATAGACTCAAATATGTGGTTCCCATACTGTAGAACATGAACCAGGAGCTTTGCTACAGAAAAAGGGCTTCCATTGCAGAATTGGGAGGCAGTAAAATATCATCCTTTCTCCCAGACCTCTATTAACTCAGAAATAATGGATGAAAGCAGAGGTATGAGGCCCTCATAAAAACACAGGCAGGTCAACAAGACCATGACTTGCAGAGTTCTCTTAATTTCTATAAAGGGAGAATGTGTCTGTTGGAAAGTTTGGCAGAGCAAAAGATAAACACGTGACTACTGGTAATAGTAAAAGCAAAGAGAGTCAAATGCCGGCCCTGCTCATGCAAGCCCTATTTAGGGGCGAAAGGCATGTTGGCCTCAGGGCCAGAGGGCTTCGAGCATTCCAAGCCACGGTAGAGATGGGTGTATTGGGAAATCTGTGTAGCAGCTCTTGGTTCTGGTCCCGTGCTTGCTAAGACCCTTTATATTAGAATTATCTTCCCGGAATGTAGAGAGAGAATGTCTGATCATGCTCAAATGTATGCCACAGGTCTTGTGACAGCTACAATGTGAATTATTAAAGTGGGCTTCTGATTTTATATATCAGTCTCAGGAATTGACGCAGAGAAATGCATCTAAACCAAATAGGTTTGAAAGTGTCCACAGGCCTTAACCCCCTTCCCCGCCACAGAGGTCTCCCTAGTCAGCTGCCTGGCTCCCAGCTTCCCAGCTGGTTCTGTGTGAAGTGTCTCACGAACAATAATCCCAGTAAGGTAATGCAAATACAGTGCTACTTAAAACAAAGTCTGCTTTACTGAGAACATGTATACAGACAATACACAGAGGAAAGAATAACAGGTAAAGTCTTAATGCTTTATCCAGTGGAATTTTGGCAATAAAATTTCCCTTGGAATAGCTACAGATCTCTCTCTCTTTCTCTCTCTCTCTCTGTCTGTCTCCCTCTGTCTGTCTCTCTCTGTATCTCTGTCTCTCTCTTATTGAGAAGGGATGATAATGAAGATGATGCTTAGGACCTGTTACAAGTGGAAAAGACCAGAGAAGAACTTTTCAGAGAACTGTGCTGTGTTTGCCTCCAACCACACTGTTAATGAATAAATTAAAATTTCTTGCAGTACAGACTACAGAAATAAGATTTAAAATAGGAATCTATACATCAGTGAATGGTAGTCTGATTTTCTTAGAGAAGTTGACTTTTTTGAATTTCAGCCAGAATTCTTGGTCCAGTGGCAAGGGCTTTCTCCTTCTGTGGTATTCAGGGAGAAAACCAGTTGTAGGTCTGTGTTCAAAATGAAAACAAGCCCCTGTAGAAAAATTATAACAAGTGACCAAAAAAATCAAGTGCTTTGTGCATTGATTAATGGCCTAGAACTTAGAACATGCAGTTCTTATTTAACAGAGCTCGGGAGAAGACTATTTTTCAAGAAAAGAAATGGACATGAACCACATACTACCTTCATATTCATTGAATTTATGTTGCTTAGGTAAAGGATTCCAGCAGTGCCATTTCTAGAACTAAACTTATTTCTTAGAAATATTTGGATAACAATCCCACCATTTCCTGTGACACTGGCAGAGGTTACACCATGTTTACTGCAATTTGCAGATTTGTACTTTTCTTGGAGAAACTGTAGTTGGGTATTTAAAAACTGGATTCACAAAGGACACAGTGTCTGTCATATCACCTCTTCTTGCAGTGCACAGCCCTCGTTAAGCCTCAGTGTTGCTCAGATCTGGAATGGCTCCCAAAGCCACATGTGTTAGGAACTTAGTTTCCAGCCTGGCATAAGCAAAGGTGGTGGAACCCAGGCAGGGCCTAATGGGAGAGCAGCAGGCGTTTGGGGAATATGTGTCATTCAAGCCCATCTCTTTCTTTCACTTCTTGATTATGAGGCAAACAGCTTTGCTCCACTCTGTGCTCCTCACCAGGATGTGCTACTTCTCCGCAGGCTCAAAAGCAACAGGGCCAACTTGTCCTGGACTCGATCTGCTAAAGCTGCAAGCCAAAATCAATACTTCTCTTGTTAAGTTGATGAGTTGAAGTACTTGTTATACTGATGCAAAGCTAATAAAGGCCTGTTGTCACTATATACCTAGATTCTTGCCAAAGCTAAAAACCTAGTTTCTCCAACTCTAGTACAATTCAGTGAATATTCAGAGTATATGTAATAAACCTTGGTCAAAGAAAAAAAAAAAAAAGACAAGGCCTTTATACTAAAAGAGCTTCTATTCCAGTCAAGAACAAAGTCAGGTTGGTGATATGAATAAGACTAATTAAGAAGTCAGCCACCTAGACTTAATCTCTGCTTATTTGTTGCCCTGAACAAACTGTTTGTGCCCCAGTGTTTTATCTCTACAGGGGACATAACCCTCAGCTTTATGCATTTAGAAATCTGCTTGGCAAGGGCTCATTTTTCTAGGTCAGCTCCTGAAATTGATACAATAAAAGCCATGAAGTCAATTTAATAATGAGTTCATACATAAGATTACATAACTCTTAGTTTCCTGATTTGCATGATGAGGTTATTGAATTTACGCAGAAATATTTTGAAGCTGTAGTGAGATGCTACATCCACTAATCACGCCTTCTGATGATAGATGAATCTTTCTAAAGCATCAGTTTTAATCCTGACAGTCTTGTCATACATCTCCACGCTGTCAGGAAGGTGAAAGGCCAATCTTCTGGTCTATTCTGAAATCATCTTCACAGTTTTATTTCTAATTACTCCATCAAAATGAAATATCTGCAAGTAGCTATTCTTTATCTGAATATTCATCTCTGCCACGTATATTTCTGTGCTTTTGTTCACGCGTGTTGTTTTCCTTGTAACTTCCTGTGGATTAGCCTTTTGTGCCAGTGCACCTGCTAGGTTATCAAGCCTCTAGTTTATGTTGCCTTATCATCCACTCCTTCTGCTACTGAGCACTGGACAATTGAGATGGGCTCTAAGTGTATGAAACACACCAGATTTCCACCTTCATGTATATTTACTACTGAATATAAAATGAAACATCTCATTAATGTTTTATATAGATTACATATAGAAACATTAATTTCACCTCTATTTTTACTTTTTCTTTAAAAAAAAAAGACTACTAGAAAATAAACAAAAAAAGAGACCACTAGAAACCACTAGCTTGTATTGTTGCCTTTGCATAGCACTGCTTTAGAGGCCTTCTATCCCATATGCCTGGCTCTTTTTTGTCACATTCCTGGGTGGAGGTCTGAGCTCCCCAGTTAGAGTGACTGCCTTGGGGGCAGGCTCAGAATGTGAGGCTGCAGGTATCCCATATGGCACCGGCACTCAGCATGTAGCACCCTCGGGTAAGACTTGATGAACATATGAGTCACAGAAGACCAATCACAGCAATCCTCTAATAGTTAAGCTCCCAAGGTGTTTTCTGAGCACATTCAATTAAAAAATACTTACTTGTCTTTCTAGGTACATTAACACTCAAAAGATCTGAGAAGCACTGTACATATAACCCTTTTTGACAAGGGGTTACACTGATTGCTTGATTTGAGAAAAAAATTTTGTCCTGTGCTTGCAGGATGCTTTTCAGCAGTACTGTGAAGATTTAGTAGTTTCTGTCCAATGCCTTTCACATTGTAGAGTACTTTTTCTGGTCTGTAGAGTTTTGTGTCATTGGTTTTACTACAGAAATTATCAGCATGTTTTTGGGATGATGGCGTGTTAATGCCACTGGGCCAGGTATGGAGCTTAACGCCTTGTTCATGTTATGTTTGTTTTGGTCTCCAGCAAGAAGTAATCCCTGTAACTGAAGATGGTTCTTAATTGAACAACAGGAAGAATTAAAGGATTTGAAACTGTTTACAAGAAAATTGTTTATAAGAACAAATGGAATTAATTGGTGCCTATAAAGCTGGTATGTGTGGGTTTCATACACATCAACAAAAGGAATTTTAAACAGAATAGTGGCTCAGCCATCAGTTTTCAGATGCACCAAAATCAACCCTGCATCAAAACCCCACAAGGGATTTGGGCTTGCTATAAAAGAAATGTGTTAATAGAGTAAGCTACTATACAGTAGAGTAGGTCTGTAAACTTGCCAGTCTTGGGAGTCTGCATGGATACAAGCATAACCCAGGGGTATTGTCTGTGAAACAGATCAAGAAATTTCACATGCCAGCATCGGGAATTATTTTGTGTGACTCGCTTTACTTAGGTGTGTCTATTTTAAGAAAAAAGAAAAATACATTGTCTTGATTGATCATAAAATCATTTAAGCTTAATGAGTTCTTTTAAAAGAACATCTTACTAAAATACAGTCTACAAAAGCTTTTAAAAAGACCTCAGAGTACAGAAAATGTTATTGGAACATCTATTAATGTCTATTCTTTAAAAGCATTTTTAACAAGCACTTCAAGATTTCAGGTGAGTCCCTGTACTTCACATAACAGATATTTTAAGTCAGTAAAGTTCTTGTAGTTTTGTCACCATTTATAAAACCAAGAGCAAAGAAATCCTATACTCTGCAAGCTATAAAAAGAAAGGTAAGCAGAAATATGGGTTTCAGTACTTCTTATCTCTGAATCACTATTCCAAGAAAGAGAACAACCTAGATAGTTGCTATTAGCTTTTAGAACTCAATGCAAAAATTGTAGAGTTGAGTAACTTTTCAAACTGACTTACTCTTCTCAAAGTGGCTGTAGGTTGAGAATCATTAAACCACCTTGTTTGCAAAGTACACAGCAAACAGGTTTTTTAATCTCCTGTTTGGAAAGAAGATTATTTAATTCAGTTGTGGTTTCTGTGGAATTTTAAGTGCAATAAAAAAAATGAAGGACCATTTGTTTGGATGCATGGAGTATTATATATATTCCTGCAATTCTTATTTGTTCTTTTTCACTTTAAAAGCACCGAGGGATTTTTGTGGGTGGAGCTGCTAAGAAAGGGAAAGGAAGCTCAGGAGGAAGTACTGAAAAGACAGACACAGCAAAGCAAAGAACTCTGTCAGAGCATCTCAAAGCGATAAGCAAAGGCGACTGATCAGGCTTTGTGGGACGTGAACCTGAATCACAAGGAAACAGCATCAGGTTCCCAAGGTCACCAGGCACAGTGGGAAAAGTACAAACATTAATTTCAATTTTTTTCTGCTTGCAGTTGCCACATAATTATGAGCAATACTGAAATTCTCCAGCAGAATTGCAAACTTGACATTTAAAATATATCAGAGGTATAAATTTTGTGTCATAAATAGGAAGAGAAAAGTGTGACATTGCTACTACCAATTAACAGTTACAGGCGTGGGAATGTGGGGAAGAAGGAAAAAAATCGCACGTGCTCAAACATGTTGAAAATCAGAACTTTAGGAAGCCATTCATGAGAAACCAGTGCTGCTAGGAAGAGACTTTATCTAAATGTTCCAGATATTTCAAGCTTATTCAAGAACTGAAGAAATAAATGCTCAGAAAAGAATGCTAGAGAGTACAGTGGACCCAAGACAAGAACTGGGCCCAGGTACAGAAGGTGGAAATGTGATCTCTCCCCAGCATCCAAATGAAGATGAAAGTTTTAAAGCAGCTACTGACAATGCTTTCTCGGGCATTGCTAACATGACTGCAGAGGCCACTGTCTAATCAGCAGTCAAGTGTGAGCTTCTCAAGGCTATTTTTTTCCTAGTCTGTCATTAAAGCAATTGGCTTTGGAAACCTCTTATCTGCTCCCTGCTCAAATGACTGATTCTGACAGATTCTGAACCTGATTTCTCTCCTCCCACAAAAGGAAAAAAAAAAGGATTAATCCACAAAGCATCTATTTATAGTAATAATAATTCTATGATTACATCATAAGGAGTATCTGGTAGAGATTCTCTAAATGAAAGGAGGGTGAATGTGGGTATTTCAGGGGAGGGGCACACAGGTGGAGTTTGATTCAAGATCACTGCAAGGTAGCAACGCTATTTAGGACACACTGAATCTAAAACCAGGAGATTCGGGAGCAATATTCTAGATGGAAATTTAAATAACATGTAGGGTGTGTGTGAAGGGGAAGAAAGAGAAATTAATTTAATTCCATTTGCTGATGTGGCTGGAGCACAACTATTTTTAGGTATAATCCAAACAGTGCATATCTTCTCCATTTTGATTAGTAGAAAATTGGCAGAGAGTCAAAAGAATTAGTATTTCTCAGTACACTATGCCACAGAAATGTACAAATAAAACTACATTATCTGTGCCAGTGTGTTTAAGTTATTGCTAAGGCTTTAATTTTTTTCTCTTCAAAAGAATGAAAAGGCCCAGCTTTGTCAAAGACATTTAAAAGAAAATGAGTCTTTTACAACTAGCAGCAAAGGTTATAGAATAATTTTGTTTAGACCTTTCTTTAAAAGCTCTTACTAAAAATTTAAATGTCAATATTACACAGATACTTTGGATGCCTAATATCCACCTGGAAATTTTACATGTTGTCCGAGGAAGTCGGCACATTCAACCAAATGTGACATTAAAATAAGCTAGGAAAATATGCTTAACGAGGAAAGGTTTCACAGTGATCACATAGAAGTTAATTCCAGTTCCAAAGAAAGCACAGGCTAAAAAATAAACTGCACTGCAAAGTTTTATACTGACAAGTTTACCACAGGGCCAAGCTATATGCTACAGCATGCTCACATTTCTACATTGGAAGCAAAATTTATATATCCAGGAAATTTTGATTATGTCACAGTAGAGGACTTTACAATGCTCAACCGAATTTCCAAGGAATAGCAAGTCAGTAAATGTTGATTACATTTGAGTTCACTGCTTTGATTTTACGTTTATGCCTTAGGTTCTTTGACAAACACAAACCGCCAGGAAAGGGTGACTCTGTATACTCACTGTCCTCCCGCTGCCATCTCTGTGTTTACTATTTCACCAGGATGTGCAGCACTGGCAACTTTCTCTTCCCACTGCCATAGTCTTCGACACTGGCAGACTGGCTTCCTCATTTCCTATCACAAATCAATGTCTGCCTTCCTCAAAAAATAAGAAAGAGTCGTTTTCATGGGTATTTGGAATCACTGACATGGTCTACTTCTGAATCCTTATAATTCCCAGTTATAGAATACAGATCACACAAAAATCTTTTTCTACTTCCCACCAATTCATGTAGACTGGTTCCAAGGTGATAGTGATTTCCTCTAATTCACTAAAGAAATTAAACCTGTCTACAAAGCAGTTGAATTATATTCATTTTAAAAATAGCAGTAAAGATATTAATGACTTTGAAACCTGACATTTGATGGGCCTGTAACGTGCTTTCTGATGGGAATATTTCTTTTTATTTAAATATGAAAACTTATCTACAGAGTAAGTAAAACAATCAGTGAACCAGAAACAGAAGCAATAACCTGATAATTCAGTGTTCTTCAGATAAAACAAAAGACCTCAAGTCTATTAGGTTAAAATAAAAAGGAGATAAAACTCACAACAAAATGTATCTTACATACACAAAGGGAAACAATACTAGAAACAGTTTTTAGGTCAAAGAACAGTATCGTAACATTTCAGCCTGAGACTGATTTTACATTCTCCAAAATAAGTTTCAGTATTTTTCTTTGTTGTTGATTTTTGTCAACCTGGTCTTCCACCCACCTTTTTCTTCTTTTTGCTGAGAAAGAGGTTAAACTTGGGGGCAGTCTTTGTGGAAAGAGCTGCTGTTCCTGTCACCTCCTGCTGGACTTTGCCACACAGGCTACATTAACGTTTCTAAGAAGACTGTCACCTGGGCTTTAGGATATGCCATTGTGAAAAAGGGATGATTGGTCCTGACTTTCCTGAGAAGAGAACTCTCTATTCCTGTTAAAGGGCAGCGTGAACACAAACTTTATATTCTTCATTTAGTACTTTTACTGTATGATTGTAAGATGAAAAACTACTGAAGAATATAAACATTATATAACTTATTTTGAAGAATGTACAATTAACCTCAGGATGGAATTTCACTGCACTTTCCTTACACACTAATCGGATAAAAACATTTTGTTCATTTCATATTGTAATTTTGTTAAGAAATGAAATGATTTCACATTTACTTTTTTTACTTTGACTCACCCACCCAAAACTGCTGAAGTCATTGACTGAACTACACAAGAGAAATATTTTCTGCAGAAGCCCTTTGATAAACTTTTGCTTAGACATTTTTTTAAGAAAAATTCTAAACAATCATTACAGAATCTGCACATACAGATCAACTGTAGGCAGTGGCTTTCAATTGGAAAACAAAAGTAAACGGTGGAATCCACTTACCACATTTCACTTAGCTGACAGTTCAGTGAGGTCTCCTCTCCTGTTTTGCTGAGCAAAGTTGCAGCTGGGTTACCTGGCTCCGTCACTTTTCACCAGTAGATACAGTTCCAAATGTCACTTCGTAAGTCAAGTGCAGCAGATGGGATCTTGAAAAGCGCCTACAAGTAGTCTGGAATACCTTGAATCCGGCTGTGAAAATTCAGGGCAAATCTGCTGCTCTCAGGAGGTGAATGCCATATTTGGTTTAGAGGCATTTTGTGATATTATTGAGTCATGAAAAGCTATTAAAAGAGATCTACGAGAAATGCAGCCTAATGAAAAGACAAACTGTATTTCTCATTGTCACTGACACTTTACAGACACAAGGGTACATAATCTGGATTGTGCTTCATTGGTATTTATTGCACATGGACCAATTCCTCACACAGTAGTTAGTTGCACCAGAGTAAAAAATACTTGGTAAAACATACAAGAGGAAAACAGAATTTACACGCAAGTGCTAAACTTTACCAGCAGATTCACATGGGCACTAGGACATAAAAAAATAATAAAAAATTCATAAGGTAATTATATTTATAACATGGATACAGTACCATGATAAAAGAGTATAAAAAGGTATTTCCCCAATAAATCATTAGCTCAATAACATAATAGGCGACAAAAGCTGAGTCTGAATTTTATTTTAGTTTTTAAGATCTGCCCCCTTCCCGTCCCTTTAAAAATATCTAATTTCTTTTTGTGCAAGTAACATCTGTGGACTTTACAATTCCTAACACTGTGCAAAAATGTCATTTGGAACCACTCCTGTTTAGTGTGTTTTGTTTTTTGTTTTTAAGCACATGTGCAGTTATCTGAACTGTTTCCTTACTTTTTTTTCCCTGTCTTGTCTTCAGTTGACAGAGTCACGTGTCCCAGAGAGGCTCAGCGCCTGGTCCTTCCGACTAATATTGATACATAAATAAGCTGTTTAATATAAACAAGTCTTTCTATCTTGCTGTGCAATATGCACAGGGTGAGGTAGAAAACCTTCAGCAGGACCACCGAGGCGCGCAGGGGCAGGAGTTTGCCCTACAGAAGGAAAGCAAGGCGAAGCTTGTTCTAAGAATAGCTTAAAAGTTCTTGAAACTAGATTGATTTGCATCCATCCTTTCCCTTTGCTTTAAGAACAGGAGAAATCATTACTCAGGAATTAAAATGCAATTTGTCTGGAAAGCAAAAAGAAACATGTCCTGATAAGTCGTCGCCCCTGCCCCCTGCCCCATTTGCCTGCTCCTGTTCCCGGGAATGGGACGGAAGCCAAACCGATTGATTTATCTCCCTCTCCCGACCCACCCAGTTCCCACTTGGTTCATCGCAGAAAGTGTGAAAACCCACCTGAGGAAATCTAAAGATGCATCACACGGCACACACAAAAATAGGGGCCGAACCACAAACAGAAAAGAACCCAACCAGAATCAGCAAGCCACTCTCCCAACCCTCCTTGAACTTTCCTTTTTGTGCAACGGTGCGTGGCCTTTCTGTGTGCCTCGGATGATTCAGAGGACGTCTGGGGGCTCTGAGTTCACCAGCTTCCCTTCGGTCTTGAGTAAACAGAGCTCTCTTCTTCCCCTCGGGAAGCCATTCAGGGTCGCCCTGAGGGACGCGGAGTCCGCGTCCAGGCTGGGGCGGTGGGGCCAGGGGGCGCTCGGCCACCGCGCCCGAGCGGGGTCCTTTACACCTTGGACTCCGAAGCGAAGCCCGCGCGGCCCGGCTCGTCCAGGCTCCAGTCGCTGTCCGCGGTCGCCGCCCCGCCGTTGCAGCCGGCCCAGGGCTCCAGCAGGCGCGCGGGCGGCGCGGCCCCGACGGCGTCTTCGTCCTCGTCCGAGGCGGCCCCGGGCGACGGCGGCGGCCCCGAGCGCGCCAGGCAGCCGGAGGCGCGCGGGCGGCCGCCGTGGGCCGTGTGGCGCCTGCGGGCAGCCCTGCGCGCGCAGCAGAGCAGGCGCTGGAAGGCCTTGCGGAAGTCGGGGCTGCGGCAGTAGATGATGGGGTTGAAGGCCGAGTTGGCGTAGCCCAGCCAGTTGAAGAAGACGAAGAGGCGGTCGGGCACCAGGTCGCGGTGGAAGGCCTTGACCACGTTGGCCAGGAAGAAGGGCAGCCAGCAGAGCGTGAACACGCCCATGATGATGCCCAGCGTCTTCAGCGCCTTCTGCTCGCGCAGGGCCACGAGGCGCGAGGGCCGCCGCTTGCTGGTGCGCCCGTTGGCCAGCGGGTCGGTGGCGGCGCGCGGGGACCCGGGCGTGGGCGAGGGTACGGGCGAGGGCGGTCTCCCTGGGCCGCCGAGGAAGCGGCGCTCGCAGCTGTCGATCTTCTTCACTTGCTTCTGGGCCTCGCGGAACACCCGCAGGTACACGAAGGCCATGATGCACAGGGGCACATAGAAGGAGACGACGGACGAGGCGATGGCGTAGGCCCGGTTGGTGACGAAATCGCAGCACTTGGGATCGTTGTAGCAGCGGCGCGCCTCGTCACCCTCAGCCCGCCACCAGTGCATGAGAATGGGCAGGAAGGACACTAGGGCCGAGATGGCCCACACGGTGCACACGAGGACCCGCGCTCGTGCGCGTGTCAGCAGGCTCTGGTAGCGGAAGGGCGAGGTGATGGCGAGGTAGCGGTCCAGGGCGATGACACATAGGGTCTCAATGCTGGCCGTCACACATAGCACGTCCACTGAGGTCCAGAGCTCGCAGAAGAAGGAACCGTACTCCCAGCGACCCCACACCACTATGGTGGCCCCGAACGGCACCACGAGGAGCCCCATGACCAGGTCAGCGCTGGCCAGGGACATGATGAAGAGGTTGGTGAGCGTCTGCAGTCGCGGCGTCTTAGCGATGGCCACGATCACCAGCACGTTGCCCGCCACGATGAGCAGCACGATGAGGACCATCAGCAGGCCCATGCCGGCCGTCCACTGTGGCGACAGCGGCTCGGAACCCTCGCTGGTCGGGGGCAGCAGGGAGGCGGGCGGCGAGGCGGGCACCAGCAGCCGCGCCGCAGTGGCCGCACCGTCGGGGAGCGGCGCGGTGGACGACAGGTTGCAGGGCTCGGAGGCGCCCAGGGCGAGCACCCCCGCGCCCATGCCTAGCTGCGGAGGCCGGGGGCGGGGGGTGTGGCGGGGCTGGGCTGTGGTTGGGGAACACCCCAGGAGTCGGGGTGGCCAGGCGCGCGCGGGGAGGTCGCGGCCGGGTCAGGGCAGCCACGGCGCAGGGCCGGAGGCATGGGCGCCGGGCGCCTTCCCTGCCGGAGCCGAGCGCTGTCGCCGCCGCCGCCGCCGCCGCTGTTGGAGCCGCTGCCGCTGCTGGAAGAGCCGCCGGGACCTCAGCATGTTTCTGAGCGCGCGGGCCCCGCAGCTCCGCCACCCAACACCCACCCCACCCCGCTCCCCCACACTCCCCAAGCCAACCCCCGGCTCGCGTCAGGCTCCGGCAGCCAATGGCTGTAAAGGCACGCCCCCGAGTCCCCTCTCAACTGCCCGCACACTCTCCCACCCTCAATTGAGCGGCGCTGGAGAGTCCCCAAGATGATCGCTCCAGCGCTTCCCCGGCAGCCGCCGGTTGCCGCGAGCGCGCCCTTCCTGAGCTGGCTAGTTCCAGTGCCCTCTTCCCTGCCCCCTACCTTCCCCCCCGCAGCTCCTGTTCGCACCTGCATTCCACGTTTCCTTGTACCCCTTTGTCTCCTTCCCGTGCCCCGCCGGCTCCCTTCTGTGTCCCTGCGCTCCCTGCACCCCTCTCTGTGCAGTGCCCGCGTCCCTGCGGCAACGAGCGCGTGATTCCTTTTGCGCAGAGGGGATCTCTGTGTTCCTGAAGCGCCAGAGCGCCTTGGACAGTCCGTTCACTGGGGCTGGAGGAGTTTGACTGTGAGACTGCGTCCTCAGATCATTCAGCATAGCAGAGTGTGCAAAACCCTTGCCTAACCTGATTCCTGGCAGCCTGGAGAACTGGGGAATCGGAGGTGGATGTTAGAAGTTAAAAGGAAACTTTCCAGGGGAGCGGGCTGCTGGAGCGAACCGCGGATCTGTCAGGGATACTGGGCGCTGCGCCTGCAAGGGGCTGTGTTGGACCTCAAGGGAACGCAGGAAGGGAATGCTTGCTCGGTTAACAGCTAGCGCAGAGGACTAGCTGGAAACTCGCGCGGGCAAACACGCACACACACAACACACGCCCCAGCCCCAGCTAATGTGTGTGTGACTTACAGGTGTGTTCCAAGTATGAAAAGAGAGGCACACGTGTTAACGTCCGGAGTGAAAAGAGTAAATAACAGAACTTGTTTGCTGACATTTTAGACTTTGCTCATTTGACACTAGCACCTGTATTTTGTGTTTTGTTATTCATATGATTTTGTAGTGTGAACTGGTTTAATACACACAAAAAGCTACTATCATTTTTGGTTGATCTAATGCAACTGAGATTTCAGATTTCTTGGGTCTTTGTGGTTGTTTTTCCTTTGCTGGAGTTCCCAGATTCTCAGACTTCTGGGATTAGCTTTAAAGGGACGAGAGCAGAAAAATATAAATACACAAGAGGATTAAATGTGAAGACATTTAAAGTTATATCAGGGTTTTTGTTTAGTTTTAAGCTGGCAAATGAATTGGTTGGAAATGAGCGTGTGGTTAACGTTAACCTGACTGTAGGTGGTCAGTGTGGTGGTTATGGGATGACAGGCAGCCATCAGGACGGCAAGCCCCTTCTCCAGTTTGGTCATGCCTGAAAATAATGTGTGGCTCAGGCCTTGAGAAGTAACTAGCTTTCTGTCAGTACGGTATAAAACTGCAAGATGCCCATGCATCTTTTTGCATTGGAATGACAACCGCAGCACCTGGAAGGAACATCAGCAGGTGGACCAGGCTCACACCCTCACCCTGCAGAGACTGGCTTCCATAGCTGGCTTGGCTGGGAGCCCAAAGTAATTGCTTCCTAAGTTTATAAGTCAAGCAGTTTTAGCCACCTTGTCTTACGTCAATCCAAACGTCTGAATTTGCTTTAGGCCTAAACTTGACCATTAGAGTATTACAACTGGGAAGTGATTTATTTGTTTATTCACCCCTGCCCTGGACTTACCAGCCTACTTCTGCCAACTTGGGGAGGGTGAAGAGGGGGAGCCGGGAAACCGGAACTAGAGAGGAAAGAAGACTATACCCTCAAGCACGCCAGTGTCTGCCTATCTTAGTCTTCCCTTCCTGTCTCCTATCTCTTTTTTCCCTTTAGGCTTCTTGGGGGTTCTGGGAAGGGTCAAAGAGCAGCCCATAACGTAGCTGAGGCCTTGGAAAGAACTGAAATGGAAGCTGCCCAGGAAAGGATTCTGAGTGCTGCAGGGCGTAGGGAAGGCGGGAAGAGGCTCTCTATCTGTCAAGTGGCACTGCTGGAATGGAGCGTACCAACCTTAAGTGCTGCCTGAGCATTGCATTTCTGTGAGTAAAAAGGTCAGCAGGGCTTAAAATGAGCTGCCGATAATTTTATCATAACATCATGAGCATAGCAGGCAGCGGGGCCATGATGCTGGCTTTGCTGGGAAATTCTCCTTCTCCTTCAGAGATACATCAAGTCTCGGAATTTCTGTGGAATAAGTATATTACATTGTAAATGTTCCAAATGAGAAGGGTTTTCTAACAGGAGCACCTACCTAAGTCCACAAGCTGAAAGGGATCCCAGAAATTCTTGGGGCTTTCCTTCAGTTGTCCTGACACACCCCTCCCCGCCCCAACAAACAAACAAAAGACAGAATAAGAAGCCTGGACTCTTCAACTGGAGTTAAGTCTCTGATAAAATTCAGTTCTCCTTTAATTCCTACACTTCAGGGGGCCTTATTGTTTGTTGTTACATTTTTTAGCTAATAGTTTTTATACTTAGATAAGGATGCAAGATCAAGATTATGAAAAAAAGGTTCCACATGTCAACGGCCCTTGTCTGTTTTCTGTTGCCATAACAGAATACTTCAGGTCATACAGGAAGAAGTTGGTTTTGGCTCACTGTTCTGAAGGTCGAGATGTTCAAGATCAGGCTGCCACATCTGGTGAGGGCCTCACAATGTGTCACAACATGGTAGATGGCATCACAAGGCCAGAGCTTGTGCAGAAAAGGGAGAGCATGCGGGGCAACCTTGTCATTAACAGTCCCTTCTCGAGATGACTGACCTGCTCTGTGGTAAAGCAGGACATTAATCCCTCAATGATAGCAGAACCAGCATGATGCCCATTGTTCCTTAAAGTCCCCACTGCCTCTCAGTAACTATTACTTTGGCAATTAAATCTCAACATGAGTTTTGGCGGGCAAAACCTCATTCAGACATAGCATTAACTTACAGAGGTTTTTAATGCAAGAAAGTTCATACTTCATTTCCTCATTCTCTGCTGGCTGCTTTGCAAGTAGACCCGTTGTTAGGGAGCTATGAGTCTGACAGTACTTTAGGAAATAGCAGAAAGCTCTGACAGCAGTGTTAACCACACACTTGAGAGGTTCCTACAGCCAGTTCCCACAGCCTTTCCAGCACTGTCCTACCAGAGCTCTTCGTGAATCCGCCATCGTGCGAAGCTTGGTATTCTTTCTCTTTTGGATGTGCACTCTCTTCTTTGTTTGTGTGTGTTCCTTGCACTAAGATTCCTCTCCTCCATCTCCCTGGATTCGGCCTTAGTCTGGATTCAGACTGACTGAGATCTTATTTCTCTTACTGTCTCACAAGCTCACTGCTTCTGAAATACTCCCCTTCCCCTCACCTACAGTAGTTTCTCACTAATTGTACTTCCGGGGGCAACCACAAGATTCCCTTGACATCCCTTATATTATTTAATTTTTATATGCTTTATGGATATAATCCCTGAGGGATTATAAACTCACTGAGAGCCAGGACTATCTTAAACATTTTTTATATCTTTTGCATTTACTATAATTACTTGGTATTAATATTTAGTACTAACCTTCATTCATAAATATGTGATATTTAAATTATTAATATTCTCATTTTTACACATATCAGAAATAATGAAGTGCTTGGGGATTTTTACTCATGCTTATAATTCACAAAATAATCCAGGCTATAGGCTATAGAAGTATAGCCTAGTTGATATGTTCATAGAAGCGTTTCAACACATTTTTAAATGCCCTGTATTTATTATAAATTTATAAATACAGGGCATTTAAAAATACAGAAAAATTTATCAATACAGGGTAAACTTATAAGGTGCATAAGTTTATATCACATGTCTTCAGCAATAAAGTAGAATACAAGTACAGGATTTTCCAAAGGGACATGCAAGTCCTTATCAATAAAAACACTGTATCCTTTTCACAAATGACCAAGGTAAATGACTTTTTCCTTAGCCATCCTTCATGAAACTACATAAGCAGCCAATTTTTCCTTGGGATAGTTGCTGGTGCCTAGAGTAAGATTCAGGTTCTAGATAAAATTAAGCATATACAGAGCAATGGTGAATAGACACCTACCAAGCCACAGTTGCAAGCCATGAACTTGGCAATGACATTTTCATTCTTGAGTTAGCTTTGCTAGAAAATGAGTTAAAACCAAGCAAGCACCCCTCCCTGGTAAGCGGAGGCAGGGTGGCAGACTGCAGCCCTTCCAGGGGGAGAACCAGCAGTGTCTCCTGAGATCCGCACCATGTTGGAACTTAGGACTCTGGGAAGTCAAGCAAGCACCTCCCCTCCCTGGTAAGCGGCAGCAGTGTGGCCCACTGCAGCCCTTCCAGGGGTGTCTCCTGAGATCCACGCCATGTTGGAACTGAGGACGCTATGAAAACAAATGACCATCCTGCCTCCCTGCTTAGCAATAGTGAACCTACTGCTACATGGCCTAGAGTCAAATATCCCACTTCCCCTATCCTCTCCCCGCCTGCCCATTAGCAAATGGGAACCAGAAATCTGAGCATCTCCTGGCAGGTTGACCATAGCAAATAAGGGGGACTTCCTTCTACCATTTCTTTGAAGGCAAATATTTTTATTACTGTTTTGCTCTTTTCTAATTAATGGTACTGCTCTATTCAATATTCTGTTTTGATAAATTCTATAATGTTCTATATTTCATCTCATTTTGATATATGTGGCTGAAAGAACAACTATTACAAAGATACCA